CACCGTAGGAAAACCGGGGATAACTTCCAAGGCATTCGGAACCTCCTCTGTGAATACTGTAGGATTGCAACATTTTCCTGGGGAGAGGCACTTTAGAAAGCTTGGCCCGGTCACTCCAAAGATGGGAAAACTGACGCTGGGGCCTCTTTAAGCACACTTCATCTCTCCATCTGGCCAATCCCTTACCGTGGCTCTGAGGACACATAGGACCGTCCAGTGAGCCTCCTGGGGCCACTCTCCTCTTTGCTTCCATACTCCGGGAGCTCTGGACTTCTCGTGGCCTCATACACACGCTTCCTCTGCCTGGCCTGTCTTCATACTCTGAGAGGCATCTTCTAGGTTAGACCCCTGTTGTGTGCTCTCATCACCCAGAACGTCTCAGGCAAGGCCCTCACATGGACGTAATTAATCGTCGCATAATCAGTCACTTAATGTTTAATGACTGCTCTCCCCATTAGTGTCTTCCTTATGGAGACACTAACCTCCCTGAGGACGAGCACCCCCCAGTCCCTTGCCCTGAGCATCGGTGTATCTTTGTGGAGGGAGTGAATGAATGATAGCTGAATGAATGAATGAAAGGGCCAGATGTGGGGACACACAACAGTAGCGTCTGGGGGATGGTAAGTAGCTCGCTGTATTTGGAGTGGAAGGTTCTAGGGGCGCATGGAGGGAGGGGAGCTGCAGGAGAGGCAGCTGGGAGGGCTAAGAACGCTGTCTTTCAGGGTCTTGTGAAGGTGCCCTTGACTCCGGGGTGACGTGGCACAGTTGGGGTGTGGGTTACAACACGGCTTCTCACGCCTTATTGTACGTGAGAATCCCCGGGGGTTAGTGTGACAGTTCAGACGGTATCCTGTAGGTCCACAGTGGGGCCTGAGGTTCTGTTTTTGTAACAAGCACCGAGGACCACAGCTCTAGAATCATCCCTCCTGGCAGCTGGTGGAGGATGACCTGGAGAGCAAGGAAGGGGGATGCAGGGACACCAGTCAGGAGGTGATGGAGATGGTCCGGGACCAAAGAGATGAGGGTCAGATGGAGGCAGAGCTGTGGGGATGGAAGGAGGGGCTGAGCGCTGACGCTTGGAGGGCAGGCCAGCAGGACTCAGTGGCCATCAGGAGGAAAAGGGAGTTGCTCAGTGTGTCAGTGTCCGCGTTGCTGGTTGTATCAGTGTCTGAGTTGCCGGTTCTTGCATTTTTAAAATTTTATTTTATACTGGAGTACAGCCGATTAACAATGCCATGATAGTTTCAGGCGCACAGCAAAGCAGCTCAGCCATACATATACATGTATCCATTCTCCCCCAGACTCCCCTCCCATCCAGGCTGCCACGTAACATTGAGCAGAGTTCCCTGTGCTACACAGTAGGTCCTTGTTGGTTATCCATTTTAAATACAGCAGCAGTGTGCTCATGTCAATCCCAAACTCCCCAACTATCCCTTCCCTACCCTTCCCCCTACCCCGGTAACCATAAGTTCGTTCTCAGTCTGTTTCTGTTTTGTAAATAAGTTCATTTGTATAATTTCTTTTTAGATTCCGCATGCAAGCGATATCACAGCTATTTCTGTGTCTGACTTACTTCACTCAGTATGACGATCTCTAGGTCCATCCACGTTGCTGCAGACGGCATTATTTCATTCTTTTTTATGGCTGAGTAATATTCCATTGTATATATACAACACATCGTCTTCACCATTCTTAAAAATTAGTGTTTAGTGGCATTGACATCACTTTTCAGTGCTTGTGATTAGTTTATTTTAAAATGGAAAGAACTAAAAAAAAATTAATAAAATGGAAAGAACTCCATTATGTTGAAAATAGTGGAGTATAAATCCATGCAGATGCTCTCCACACCTCAGCCCTGGGGGCTCACACAAGGTCCAAGACCCCAGCTGTGGGATTGGAACCCTGACCCTGAACCCAGCTCCCTTGTTTGGGACCCAGGCCTCCCAGACCTCTCTCCTCTTGGCCTCTATGATGTCTCTTGGTCTTCGCCCCCTACGCCCTGTTTTAAGGAGATGGGCCAGCCAGGGGGAGCAGACAGTGGGTCCTGTCTCCTCCGTCAGCTTGCAGCTCAGACCCTCCTGGAGTCCTCTCTGGCCCAGGGTAGCCCAGATGCTCAGCCCCCCTTACCCCCCAGCATGATGTTGGCTATCTGGGCAGAAGCCGCCTGTGGCAGAGTCAACTGGTCCCCTACCCATGTGTATTCTGCTGTTCCTCACTGCCAACAAAATAAGAAAACTCTCATTTTGTTAGAGGGAGCCCTGCCCTGCTGAGAGGTTACCTTGCTTACTGCCCCCTGCAGATGGGTTTGTCCATGGGACTGAGTTCAACCAATGGACAGGCTTCTAGAAGTGCTCCTTGCATTCCCCATTTCCCTTCCTGCTACCTGGAATGAGGATGTAGTGGCCGGAACCCCGCAGCCATGTTGTATGGAGCAAATAAGCGATTCGTGACACCGCTACCAGCTGCAGTGCTGTCCCCTTATTTTTTGACATCACTAGCTGCTCATGCGTGTCTCTTACATTCAGTCTTGGCAACTTGGTGTTTTTCTGGGGCTTTTTTCCACGAGAGAATCTCATTTCTCTCTCCACAGGATCCTTGGCTGGTTCTGAACCTGCACGAGAAACTTTGGGCCTCTCAATTCCCTGCTCTCCCTTTGCTCTTGGAACACCCAGCCCCAGTTCTCTCCGTGGCCCACAGATGGCTGCCTCCTGTCTCCACTGGCAGAAGGAGCAGGCCCAGGTGTGCCAGGCATGGTGCTAAAGTTCTCACCTATTTGGGGCCAATCATTAAACTGCTCCTAGGGATAAGAAATAGTTGCATTTCTTTACTGGTGGGAACGTGGCCTCCAGGAGATTATATAACTTCCCTAGTGTCCTTCATTTGTTCACTCAGTAATTATTTGCACCAAAAACGTATTTTAAAGAAAAATTTTTTTGTTTACGGTTGCTTTGGGTTTTCGTTGCTGCGTGCGGGCTTTCTCTAGTTGTGGCGAGCAGGGGCTACTCTTTGTTGCAGTGCGCGGGCTTCTCACTGCGGTGGCCTCTCGTTGCAGAGCACGGGCTCTAGGCTCAAGGGCTTCAGTAGTTGCAGCATGTGGCTCAGTAGTTGTGGTGCACGGGTTTAGTTGCTCCGGCATGTGGGATCTTCCTGGACCAGGGCTCAAACCTGCATCCCCTGCATTTGCAGGCGGATTCTTAACCACTGCGCCACCAGGGAAGCCCCCTGTTTTAATTGTGGATGGTACCCACAACATGCCACTTTCTGAGACAGAGGAGACGCAGAGACACAGGCTCGGTCATGCCATGTCTAAGTTAGGACACCCAAGGGGAAGGCCAAGTGTGCCTCTGGGCACGGGGGTCACCCAGCAAAGCCATGATGGCATCATGAGTGGAGCCCAGCTCTTCTCTGCCTGATGAGGCCTTTGGAATCAGGTGGGACCCCAGGGGATACAAGAGAGAGAAGGAGAGAAGAAAACCTTCTCAGGCAGGTCTGGCTCAATTTGAAAATAAATAACCAGTTTCCTAAGGGGAAAATGGCAAAAACTTTTCAACCACCTAAAATAAAAGATCTCAATCTAATTCTATATCCTCCTGAGAGCTGCGGTGACGGCCTCGTCAGAGAGTCAGTGACCACACTGTCCAACTTGAAGAGTTTTCTGTTCTTACTTCAGAAAATGAAGGTGCCTCGGGCACCGTGAGTTTGGCGTGTGGAGCTGGGGCTGTTTCTATCGACCTCTCTGTGCCTTCATGGCCCGGCATTGATTGGAGCTATCGATCTCTGGGTTTCAAATAACTGACACGGTTTCCAATGGGTCCAGATAATTAAGACTTCTCAAAGGGCGACCAAAAACTTGCAATGCAGTGTGGGCAGCCCATGCTGGTGGACATGCAAGCAAAAGCTGGACCTGGCGTTCGTCTGATCCTCGCTAATGGAGCCTTAGAAAAATCCTCTTGCCCGCCTGACCGATCTTCCCCAAGTTATCAAGTGACCGAGGGGAGTGATTTTCATTTCCTGGAAAACGCCTGGGGCTGGCGCACAGCACTGGGGAGTGTGGTCTGTTTCTCAGATTCATCCCTCGGTCACTCACAGGGGTCAGGTTGTGGAACTCCTAGGGGGTCCCTTGTAAGAGGTCTTTCTGCTTCGAGTCCCTCTCTCCTCTAAGGCAGCCTTCTCTCTGTAACCAGCATGATCTTCCTGGGGCCTTTATTCCTCTTTCACACCTCCGTTGTGTTCAGAATGAACTGAAGTCCAGGCTCCCGTGGAGATTGGGCCCAGTTCTTTGCACCCGCGCATTCTACATCCGCACCCCCTGCCCAGAACCATGTGGATGCAGAGTGTATATCATTACACCTTGACTCTGGGCTTGCCTGTGTAAATTTCTTTAGCCAATGGGATGCTAGTGAGTGCATCTCAGATAGAGGCTTGAAACGTGCTTGCGTGGTTGGACTTGCCTCTTGAGGTTGTGATCTGCAGAGAAGAGCGTGCCCTGGGTGGCTGCAGGTCCGGGGGGAGGAGAGACATGTGGCGGAGCTGAGCACAGGGTACATCGGCTAAACACACAGCACCGTAGGCCACGCTGCAGGACTGAGCAGTGTGAGAAGGTGACTGTTGCTGTAAGCCACAGAGTTTAGGGAGTGCTTGTTACACAGCACTGTGTAACAATAGCTGAGAGGTAATGACCCCATTGCAATATGGTTATTTATGAGTTTGTTTCCCTTCTAAGACAGATATTGAAGGCAAGGACCATACTCTTCCTCACCCCGAATACAGCCCAGGGTCTGCTATACAACGGAGCTCAGAATTTGCTTGTAGAACTGAAATAACCATGTGAGAGGCAAACCAAGAAAGGAGAAATACCTTGGGGAGGGGTGCATTGTTTATACAACAGGTGTAACAATTACAACCGTATTTATTGAGCACTAGCTGTGTGCCTCGTAGTGTTCTAATGTTTTTAAATCTATTTTCTCATTCAACCATCATTACCCTTGTTTGCTTTTCAGGTGAGGAAGCTGAGGCTCAGTGAAGTTACGGGGTTTGCCTGCGGTGAGTGACCACTAAGGCGAAGGAAGGCCCATGCCTTCCGGCTCCTAGCTGAGCATCCCTCCTTTCGTGTATACAGTAAGGACTGGCCTGCCCCACCTGCTGGGACAGAATCTTCCCAGTAAATGCTCTAGCTCACCAACTAGAACAGGGTGGAACCAGGATTCGAGCTGGTTTCTTTGTTTTCAAAACCCTGCCGAGTTGGGGGTGGGTGCAGAATTAGGGGGAGAGGTCCCTGAGGAGAGGAGGTGCAGAGTGCAGTGCTCTGAGGGGCTGTGCTGGGTGGGGCAGGGGACGTGGAGGGGGCAGGGCGCTGACTGGGAGGCGCTCCCTTGGGCCTGGGTTGGGGAGATCTTGGTGAGCAGCTGGGTTTTATTCTGTCTCCTCTTGGTAAAGTCTCTGCCCCTGAATGTGCAGGAGTTAAACACAACCCTCATTGTCAGCTTGCTGTTCTTTGGATCTGCTCTGTCCTGAGGGGCCTGGCTGCCAGGCTGACCTGACTTCCTGGTCTTTGATCACAGCCCCTGGAAACAGCTGAGATCCATCTTCGTTTATGAATCTGCCTCCCAGGATCTGTTTGGTTCATCCGTGGGCGCCCAGAGCCCAGCGCACGCCCATCACAACAGCGGACAGTCACCGAGTACATGCGGGGTATCTACCAGCACCCTCCCTGCCCCCCGCTTAACTCACTTAAGCCTCAAGGAGCTATCAATCCCACTTTACAGAGAAGGAAACTGAGTCGTGGAGGTAACTGTCAAGGTCATGCACTTGGTAGGTATTGGGGCCAGGATTTAGCCCCAGGCAGTGTGACCACAGGGCCCAAGCTCTTAACCACCAAGCCATGCTTGTCAGATGAATACAGGATCGTCTCCCCTTTCCCCTCTCCTGTCCTCACCTTCCCTTCCTCCTTCCCTCCCCTCCCTTCCCCTTGGGTACTCAGCTCCCTACAGGAGGCCTTTTTGTGAACCAGCAAAGGTGCCCTTCTGTTGGGCAGGTGCACCTCTCACCACATGGTGCATGGCTTGGGCATTGGGGACTGGGGCCTGGGTTTCAGTTCTCTTCAAACTTTCCTTCAGGGCACAACACTGCCCCACCTCCCTCTGCTGTTATCGACTGCTGACCCTCTGGTTTGGTGTCTCATGCGTGGCTATCTTCCAACCTCCCCCCCAGATGGCTGTTGCTGACATCTGTTATTGCCCCCATCCATGGTGGCGTCGTGGGCAGGGAGGACCCACAACTTTCTCCCCAGTCCCAGAATCCAGGCTGCAGTACAAGGGTGGCCCTAGCTGGGGACAGCAGGGAATGGGGCAAGGAAGGCTTTATGTTGAGATTCTACACCATTTAGTTTGGAAAAAAGATCACACTTGCTTTTAAGTTCAGATGTCATCTTCGAGTCAGACAATCAAACTGAACTCCTGACCAGCCCTTCTGCTAAACCTTTTTGAGAATTAACAAAGGTTACCTGTTGCTCAAGCCTTTTCACTGCCCTTTGCTGAGAGTGTCCCAAACTGTGATAACAAAAACAGCATCCCTAGAGCCTAGAGCTGTGCAGTGCACAACCTGTGCAACTGTGTATGGCAGCTCTGACCCTGACGAGTTGCAATGTTTTTGAACCTTGTTATCTTCACCCATAAAGTGGGGTTTTATAGTCCCGAGAGAAATTGGTTAAGTATTAACTGATATATTATTATTGCTGTTATGACTTCAATTCTGATAAAAATGATTAAGATGCTGATGAAGACACTGGTATTTATAGAGGATTTATGCTTTTCCAGTGGGGTTCCTTCCAAATTTTCTAACTGCTTTGGTACAGTCACAAAACAATCATTATTATCTGCATTTGACAGGTCAGAAAATCGACCCATGCATTATTTCATGATTTAGGATGAGGCCATCAGGAAAACCAAAAGTACCATATCAACTTGCAGAGTTCTCACTCAGCTTCTTCATTCCACATCTGGCTTCCTGAAGTCGTGGGGATGGTGGTGATGGGGACAGTGGTGGTAGTGATGTGTGTTCTTGTTCAAAATGTGCTTTTGTTGGAAAGCCTTATTAAATTGCCTTCTGTCATTGTTGCAGATTTATTGCTTTAATTTATTTTGGCTTTTTATACACAGGAGCTGCATTTTCCTTTTTCTACCTCATTTTCAACCTGCCTGTAGGGTATAAAAATATTTATATTTTTATATTTCACCCTCTATAGTTTTCTTCTCTGGTGACCGATGTTAAGAAAATGATTTACTTTGGACTTGTGGGTCAGCAGAATGTGAAGCCATCTGTATCTGTAGTACTCACATGTTTACAGATAAAAAAACACATGGACATGAGACTAGACTACTGAAGACCCCTGGAATCCTGACTGACGAGGCACGATTTTCAGGAGAATCTCTCTCTTCTTACCTAGACGATCGTCATCTCGTTCTAGATCACCCAGCATGGCAGAATTCTCCCTCCACACCCACCCCCGCCCCCCGTGCAACGCCCACTCCCCAGGTGGGTCTCCGGGCCTCTGCAGAGCCCTCTGGTCACGGGGGGGGGTGGGGGGGTGGGGGGGGGTGTGTGGGGGGGGTGGGTGTGAAAAAAAAAAAAAAAAAAAAAAAAAAAACATGTGTGTTTGTGTGTGTGTGTGTGTGTGTGTGTGTCAAGTCTGGACTCTGCCCTTCCTCCCGGCTCCGCGGGGGCTGCCCATGAATTGACTACACCATCTCAGAAAGAGCGGATATGGTACTCAGCACAACGTGCCACCCGTAACTTTTATAAAACACACAGGTACTAATTTTATGTGGGGAAGCCACTGGGGGAAGGAGAAAGGTAAAATAAGGAGGGAAGGGAAGGTGGCAGGGAGGGAGGAAGGCAGACCAGAGCCTGAGGATCTGAGCTTTGAGAGACAAAAATCACGAATTCCTGTTCTTCCCTTCCTTGTAATCTTCTCTGCAGGAATGTGGACCCATGCCCCCTCCCTCACCAGCCCATCTCCTGTCCCCTCCCCCAGCCATCCTTGCATTGCGTCCCGTGATCCTCCCGGGCCGGTCCCACTGGGCCCTTCCTCAGGCGCGTCTTGTCTGCCCCCAGCTGGACGGGTCTCCCTGTCTCCCGCTTTTGCCTTTAGAGCACCTACAGCGACACATCTGGGGCCCATGTCACATCCTCCTTGCCCTCCCCCACCTCCCTCCGCCAGCCTGGGCGTCAGTTCACAGAACTCAGGTGGGTCTCGGTGCACAGCGCTGAGTCCAGGGCTGGGGTCTCGGTCTCTCTCCTCCAGGGCTCCCCCGAGAGCAGCCACATTGGAGAAGTGGGATCGAGTTCATGGCGGGGGGCACCCTGGAGCTGTGGACAGTGCTCCGGTCTCCCTCCCACCGCGTCTCTCCGGCTGACCTTCCAGGAGGGTTTCTGCCTACTTCTCAGGGGTCCCAGGAGCACTGGCCCCTGCTCGTCTGCACTGACCTCCCAGAGGCATCCCTGTGTGTGTCCTCTCCTCCTTTCTTTCCCTGCCTGCCCACCCTCCCTCCTTCTGCCTCCTGGGATCACATCCCCAATAAAGTCTGTGCACCCGAGGCCTAATCTCAGCTCTACTTTTGGGGAAATCAAAAGACAGCACTGTTCTCATGGTATGATTTTACACGTAGGGGCTGCCTTGTCAAATGCATGTTTGTTCCATGAGTCCATGAGCTCCTTGGGGGCTCCATGGGTCTGCTTTGCCCATCACCGTATCCTGAACATAGTCCTGACACATAGTAGGTGCTCAATAAATCCATATAACATTCCAGACTCTCCACTTTGGTGATGAATTTCCTCCCAGTGGACTGGGTTCTTTCTGCAAGAGGAAGCTTGGTCTAAATTTTCTGGCTACTCCCTACCAGGGACTGGGCCACGAGCAGACCCACACAGCTTGGAGCAAGGTAGTCTGTGTCTCATGGCCACCCCTGCACCTCAGTGAGAGAGGAGGTCTATGCTTGGACACAGGCAGCCCTGCCCCTGAGAGCACCCACCGTCTTCACATCTGGTATCTACCACCTTGGTCGAGTTCAGACTGAATCACCTCCAAGGAACAGCCTCCTTGACTCCAAGAGTTCGTGACCTGCAGGGAGCCAGAAAGGAGGGCTGGAGTGGTGTGTTTTTTTTTTTTTTTGTTTTGGCTGCATTGGGTCTTCATTGCTCCACGCAGGCTTTCTCTAATTGTGGCGAGTAGGGGCTACTCTTCGTTGCGGTGCATGGACTTTTCATTGCAGTGGCTTCTCTTGTTGCAGAGCACGGGCTCTAGGCGTGTGAGCTTCAGTAGTTATGGCTCATGGGCTCTAGAACACAGGCTCAGTAGTTGTGGTGCACAGGCTTAGTTGCTCCGCGGCATGTGGGATCTTCGCGGACCAGGGCTCGAACCCGTGTCCCCTGCATTGGCAGGTGATGCTTAACCACTGCGCCACCAGGGAAGTCTGGATATGTTTCTTTTACTTTAACCTTTGCTTCCCGCTGCTTTTGTTCACTAAAAGGATACTGTGTATACATAATGTCCTGCCTCAGGGAACCCTGCCCCTCTGCCTGAATGTTAAACCAAAGTGCCTTTGTTCAGGGAAACATCCGGACCCTGTCCACCTGTGGATGGCTGCAAGAAAGAAGAAATTAGCACATCCCCTCCCCGAGGCTGGCCATTCCAGGGGAAATTTGCAAAACTTAGGGCCTTTTTACTTTACTTCCTCATCTCCTCCCCCTCTCTGTGCTATAAAAGAAACTGGCATCCAAACCCTGACACGATGGTTATTTTGAGATTTTAGTCTGCCGGCTTCTCGGTCTGCCGGCTTCTTCCCTGCCTCAACACCTCGTCTCTGACTCTTTGGCCTGTCATGCGGCAAGCAGAGCGAGCTTGGACTCGGTAACACAAACAGGAGGAATAAACAAGCCGAAATACAGAGCAAAACCAACCACAGCCTCCACCTGCAGGGACTAGCACATTCTGCCTGATCCCGGAGAGAACAAAACACACACACCTGGGTGGCTCTCCTCCCCCTTCGGGGCTGGAACGCCCTACCTCGAGGACGCCGAGTGCCTGGGGGCCTCTGCTCTTTAAAGCAGAGGTTGCAAACCCTTTTCTGTAAAGGGCCAGGTAGTAACTGTTTCAAACTTTGTGAGCCGGGCCAGAAGATCTCCTCCTATCTACTCAGCTCAGCCACTGGAGCAAGAAAGCAATGACAAGCCATCAGCGAGTGCGTGTGGCTCTCTCCCAATCAAACTTCTTTCGCGAGCGAGCAGACCGGGTCCACGGGCTTCACCCTGCCGCCCCCTGTTCCAGGCATCTCAGGGCTCCCACCCCGGCCCCTCTGATGGGGGGGCAGGTGTGACATGCCGCCCCAGGACGCGCTCACGCGCAGCTGGCGGGAGGGCTGGACTCTGACCTGGGCTGGGGCAGTGGCCCCCCGGTCTGAAGGGTCGCCTGAACTTGTCTGCGCTCCTTTCCTACGGCACCAGAGCACGAGCCCTGTGAGGGCAGGACCCTGTCCCGTGGGCGGTGCGTTTCCATTCCTGGCCCTGCACTCTCGACTGCGTGCCTTTAGCCAAGGGCCTCAGCCTCTGAGCTGGGCTCCTCTGCCAGCAGAAAGCACGGAGAAGAAAGAGGTGCCGGAACCAGCGCGGGGCATGGGGGGAGGGGACGCGGTGGCTGAGCTGACGTCGAGGGGCTCATGTGAATACGGAGGGAGGCGGCTCCAGGCAGAGGGACCAGCGTGGGCACAGGCTGGGTGGCATCAGCTTTGCTGGAGACTGCCTTTATGGAACGTTTAAAAAAAGAAGAAAAAACAGTAAGAGAACCTCTTGCATGGATACTTGCCCATCAGCACCTGCCCACTTCAAGGAACTTGTGAGGCCCCTACAAGGTAAAGCACGTGCAGCTGGGACCCGGGGGAAGGTAAGCAGAAGCTGGGAGTCAGCATGTGGTGGTTTGCTGAGTCCACGAGCTCTTAGCCCTTCAGGTGTTTGACTTGCTGGAGTAATTTGCCAGGGGAAGGGGGCGGGGATGCAGGTTTTTGCCCTGAGGCCTGGGCTCTCCTCCCAGCTGTGGACCAGGGCCGAGTCCTGCGGGGAGGGACGGGCCCTGGAGACAGGATGGAAGGCCCGCAGCCTGCATGCAGGGGCAGGGGAGGCCGTGTAGCTGGGCTCTGCTCCTACACCAGCAGGAGGGCCCGGCCTGGCCTCGCACGTCTTTGCTAGCGGATAACATGACCCAGAGTGTTGGCTCCTGCAGCCCCATGTAACACGGAGACGTGGGGCCAGTGAGCCCGGGAAGTTTACAGCTAAAGGACCCAACTGCCTCATCATCCCCTATGACTGTGAGGCCCGGGGAAGCCAGTCAGAAACCAGCTACAAATCTGGGAGCTACGCGGCTCTGGCCCTTAGGTGGGTGTATTAGTTTCCTAGGGCAGATGTAACAAGTTACCACAAAGTTGGGTGTCTTAAAACAAGAGAAATTCAATCTGTCTCGCGGCTCTGGAGGCCAGCGGTCTGAGATCAAGGTGCCGACAGGCTTGGCTCCTCCTGGATGCTCTGAGGCTCACGCCAGGCCTCTCTCTGGCTTCCGGTTGCCGCTGGCAAGCCTTGGTGTTCTTGGCTTGTAGATACATCACTCCAACCAGTGCCACTAACTTCAC